TCCCAACAGGGCCCCGGGCCCTCAGGTCAGGGGGCAGGAAGTCGTTCATCGTCCTCGTCCAGCGAAACGGGTACCCGCCGTTCCTCTAGGGGTGCCGCCAGCGGCAGACAACGTGGACGCCGACCTCAGTCACCAGCTTACTCCAGGGCTAGTGGCCGGCAAGGTACTTGGCAGGGGAGCCCCTCCCACCATCGATCGACTCGATCAAGGAGACGGACAGCTCGACACTCGTCACACAGCTCTCGGACTTCCGATTCGGATGCCTCTCTATCCCGCAGCAGGCGGACAGGTTATCGCCAGCAGAAAGAGACCTTCCGCACACCACCTCGGGCGTTGGACTATGACGGGAAGTCAGATTGGGCCACCTTCTACCGCCGTTTTACGTCTTATGCCTCGGAAAAGGACTGGAGCGGGCCTACGTTATTGACACAGTTAGGGTGGTGCCTCAAGGGTAAGGCAAGTGATTTTTACAATCACTTACTGGACAGAGAACCGTCGATCGATTATAATCGCATGATGCATAAGATGATCAAGCGATTTGGCGATAGGGAAGTTCTGGATGTAGCCATGATGAAGTTTAACCAGGCCCAGCAGGAACCAGAAGAGGATATCGCTGATTGGGCAGATAGGGCCCATCACTTGGCTCATCGGGCCTACAAACATGTGCCACGATGGGAAGTGGAACAAATCGCAGTAATGAGATTTGGCCAGGGATTACAGGATAAGAGTCTGGCAGGATACATTTCCAATGCGAGGAACTCCTCCATGGAGGAGGCTATTGATCGGGCCCAAACCTTCCAGCACAATGCCATAGCGATCCACGGTTCCTCAGGTTCCAAAGGATACGACTCCCATCACCGAGTGCCCCAAGGTCCAGCAGTGCGAGTGAATGCAGTGGGAAGGTACTCCCAGTATGAGCGGCCACCCAGGAGTAATGACGCTTCTCGGCGCTCGACACTCGCCCTTCCCAGCTCCCCAGGCACGTCACCGGCTACCAGTTCTTCAGGTTTTGGAATCAACACTTGCCGACCATCGAGTGCGGGCTCGCATCCTTTATCTTCCAGGGGCGTGGAGGCGAAGTTGGACACCTTGGTAGCAGGTATCTCAGAGACCAACGGGAGATTGGACCAGGTGTGTGAGAGTTTGAGGCACCTTACAGTTGCTCTTATGTCACCACAGCATCGCCGTAGCCCATCCCCTAGGCGACCTGTTCAGTGCTACAGGTGTGGGAAAGAGGGTCATTTTGCTCGGGACTGTGAGGAATCCGAAAGGGATGAGGAAGCAGTCCGCCAGCACGGGGACACCTCGGGCAACAGGCCATGTGTTTCATTTAAGGACCAAAATTCGTCTTTAAACGCTGCCGGGTCGGCTCATTCGGCCTAAATCCGACCCAGTGCATAGCAGGCCAAGGAGGGGCATCGGAGCAAGATGCTGACCAGATATTGTCTAGTGGTTTGGAAGACATCTCGGCTCACACTGACAGGGGGGACATGGACACTAGCACATCAGACACGTACAACCAGCAGAGTTTGGTTATGCTAAGTGAGAACTCGTCAAGTGAGGCTCCTTCAGGAATCCAATGCAGGACAAAAGTGGCAATTCGGGACCATGCCACTACTGAACAGACAGGTCTGGATCAGGAAGCGAAGCAAAATTCTCACAGGAAGTGGGGCCCGTTAAGACACAATGTGGAAAGGAGGGCTCAGAAGAAAATAAAGAATGAACTAGCATTTGGTCAGTTCTTGGAAGGCATAGATCCAATTGCTTTCCCTTGGGATCCTGGGGGTGAGATGTGGGAAGAGGGTTGCTCTGTCAAAGGACTCACATTCAAGGAGCAGCGCTTTGGTGCAAGGAATATTGTTAGGACAGAGTAAATTCCTAAGAGTGAAGCTGAAAAGAAAAAAAAAAAAAAAAAAAAGGAGAATAGTGTAGTGTATGCAATGTTGAAACAGTTCGTGTATAGTGCAAAGATAATACGGGTAATAATTGTAATGTTCGTGTATAGTGCAAAGATAATACGGGTAATAATTGTAATGTTCGTGTATAGTGCAAAGATAATACGGGTAATAATTGTAATGTTCGTGTACAGTGCAAAGATAATACGGGTAATAATTGTAATAGGACCCATTCATGAAACCAGACTTTTTACAAAAAGACATGTTATATATAGTGAAACATTTTCCCTCCAATATACCCATTGTTCTATAGGGACGGGAGGAGTGTAGAGGGAACCACATTCAAAGTGCCCGCCAAAGGAGACATTTTACAGTATAGGCAGGGCTGTGCCCTGATTGGTGGACGGCGACGGCGCACAGCCTACCCGCGCAGGCCGAGTGGGCCAGATTTGAACTGCATGTGACCCAGCGCGGACGACGCCTACCCGGCACCACTGGCACTTAGGATATGTGCCCATAGGACCCCTAAAGAGGCATTGACTCCCTCTGTCCTACCCTTCCTGAGGAGCCTAGACTTGCTCCACCTGCCCTACCAGCCCTACCTCTCCCTACGACGACAGTTCCAGGTGAAATATTACTGTACTATTGTTGTAACACGTGGGTCACCTATTTTTGCTACAAACTAACCAAACCAAGACTCAACCTAACCCAAACCAATGGAGTCCAGTACAGCTTAACCTAAGCTAATACATCCTACCATAACAGTATAGTGTATACGGTTTTAACAAACGGGAAAACGAGCATCGTCGAATTATTTCATGTCCAAAAAGTACCATCCATAAAGTTTGATACGTTAGGATGTATTAGCCAAGATTAGGCTGTGTTAGGCTTGGTTGGTTTGAGTTAGCCTGGGTAAGGTTAGGTAAATTTTCCAATCCATTGGTGAACAGTCATGTGTACAGGGTGACACATTATTACAGACCGTTTTACTAGTGATAAAAAAGCAATGTAGGACTAACACAACTATTGGAAAACAACAGTTGTGTTATCAGTGTATAGTAGTAATTAATAATTTTGTACAAAGTTTGCATAAAAATGTTAGGTGTTTCAAGTAACTCACTAGGTTCTGGTAGACCTTTCATGACCCGTATAAAGGCCAGGCTGTGTGTGAAGAACTGTTAAAACCATCAACAGGTAATATACAGAAATGTTTATTGAACTAAATGCAGCTGGCCGAAGCAGCCATTGACATGAAACTATTAGCGGCCAGTTTCATGTTAGTTACGTATTTATGGAAACTCTCCATCAGCGACCACATAACCAGATTTTAAAATGCTCTATAATCTTAATTTAAATATATTTTATTACAGTACTGTATCTGGTTTTCTTTACAAAGTACAGTATTTATATCATCCTACCCACAACAGTTGTTTAATTTCCGAGTACCTGTTTACTGCTAGGTGAACAGAAGAATTAGGTGAAAGGAAATGTGCCCAGCCATATCTGTCCTGACTGGGAATTGAACCCAGGATCCCCAATTGGGAGTCAAGGGGGAAGGCAACCGATTTTTACCTGACTTTACCTGAGGGCCACTAACGTATTAGTGGCCTCGACGAGAACAGAAAAGCTTGTCCAAAGTCCCCTCATTTGCCTTGATTATTTTTTTCCAGTTGGATTTTAAAATGTAAGAGTTTGGGCAATTATGTTTGGCAGGTAGGCAGTTCCATGGGTTTATAACCGTATGGGGGTAAAAGGCATCTCTTGTTTTCAGTCCTATGTTGTGGTTTGTTGAGCTTTTATAAGACATTATCTGGATCAACATCCTCCAAATTGTTCAGTATTTTAAAATTTCAATGAGGTCTGCTAAGTCATGTCTGGTTTGAAGTGTTGTTAGTGCTGTGGCCCTCAACTGTTCCTGGTATGAGAGTTGATTACACTGTGATACCCTCAACTATAATAAATTCTGTTTTCAGACAACATACAGCCTCTTTGCTCAAACCCCTGGACATACTAAACATTTAATCCGTACTCTTCATTCTCTTCACATTATAAACACTTGCAAAGCTCTGTTCCTTAATACTAACTCAGATTTTAAACTTCCGAATTGTATGAAATAAGAATGTTTGTGATGTTCTGCATGAACATCACTGCTGAAATATCTCTAAGATTCTCTATGCAGGTCTCTATATAGAGAGACCAAATGTGTGGAATTTCCTAACCCAATGTCTTCACTTTAGTATCCCACATTGTGCTAATTACTCATCTAGTGCTGTACTATCTACAAATGCACTCCATCAACATAATTTCTCATCACCCTTATTACTACCTTACCTCTTGCTTAACAATTAGCTTAGCTTAGATGTCACGCTATTGTGATTTCTGTGTATAATGAAGTAAGGGCGAAGAGGTAGAACGGCCTATTGACATAGCTCGAGTGCATGGGGGGGAGTTGTGTAAAATCCTGGTTTGTCTCTCGGAGAGGCTGCAGGATCCAAGTAAATTCAGAAGAATTTCTGGTTGCAATTCTTATACCATGTCGTAGCTCAGTCGATTAAGGCAGCGTCTGGGATGCTCTTGGACGCAAGTTCGAATCCTCGTCACGGCCCCTTGTAGATTTGTTCTCTTAAGATTAACTGTTTCCCTTGTACAATAATTTAAAATTCACTGCAAATTTTGCGTTAGCTTTAAGATTTGCCTAAAATGCTATGCATGTTAGTGGCTTTACAAGAATGTACAGATAATGGCGATTCATTTGTACAAATAACCCATTGTAGTGAATAATATTGTGTGTCAGGGGGGGCCTAACGGCTGAGTGGACAGCGCTCCGGATTTGTATTCCTAAGGTTCTGGGTTTGACCCCCAGTGGAGGTGGAAACAAATGGGCAGAGTTTCTTTCACCCTGATGCCCCTGTTACCTAGCAGTAAATAAGTACCTGAGAGTTAGACAGCTGCTACTGGCTGCTTCCTGGGGGGGTGTAACAAAAAGGAGGCCTGGTCGAGGATTGGGCCACGGGGACGCTAAGCCCCGAAATCGTCTCAAGATAACCTCAAAATACTGTAGTGTAGTGGTCAACACAGTCAACTCGCAATTGAAACGTTCGGGATTGATTTCTGCCGCAGGACAGGGACGTTTGGCACGTTTGCTTTTGCCCGATGCCTGTGTTCACCTAGCGGTAAATAAGTACCTAGGAGTTGGGCAACTATTGTTGGTTGCATCTTGGGAAAGACTAGTAGTTGGCCTAGAGGGGACCTTGATAAACCTAACTGGCTTTGTCCCAATGGGAAATCATACTTAAGTACGATACAAGTAAAAAACTTTTCAAAATCTTTTCTGTGGAGAGCCTTGTAGGCTCCAGGGAGCCTCTGGGCTCACCCAGAAAATGGTGTTTCATTACATTCAGTGCTGTATTTTTTTTTTCAAATAATGTTACTTTTGTGAGGGTTTGTGTACAGTAATTATTGAACTTCATTGTTGTTTGTATTTGTAATATGTTCTCTCATCTTCCCTCCTGATTTTCCATAACTAATCACTTCTTGCAAAGAGAATTATAAAACCTGTGTTTATTGAATTCATTTTATTTGCCTTCTCACTCATGCTTTAATGTTACTTATTTGATCAATAACACCTTACTGATACAGTAATAATAATAATACATTAATATTACATTTTTATACATACCAACTGCAATATAATGTAATTTGACCATTGACAGGTACAAACCATCAGCACAAGGGACTCCAGGGGCCCCTGGTGAAGATCCAACTACTGACTACATGAATGTACAGGTACTAGCATGATCTTCAGCATGTGTGGTCTAATGATGAGAGTAAGTTTTGGGTTTCTGGCATTATAGGGTCTGTTCTGAAGCCCACGGTATCATCCCTATTCATCCTGGCACTAGCTTGCTCAGTTTTTTTTGTTTTCAACTCATATTTTATGAACTACTGTATATTGTATGTAAGTGATGTTGGCATTCATGGGAACATTTTCTGTGGGAGCCATGCTTTTTGTATTGTTTATATTCATGCTTCACTTGTCAGTTTAAGGCACCCATCTTGTGTGCCCTTAGCTGTTCATTCATTCTGATTTAGTTTCTCAACTCTCTGCCTTGTAGCTAGTTTGTATTACCCATTCCCACCAGTAATATTTTTCAAGATTCTGGGTGTTGTCCTAGTCAGGGCTTCTCCTTTTGAGTTGCCATTACATCAGTACTGCTTGGGACTCGGTCCACGTGGCCAGGCCTGTTGCTGGGTATTTTAGTGTGTGTTATGTCTGATTCTGACTCGTGTGCCATGTTGGTGCCTTGCATCATCTTCTGTGTGTACAGTTGGAGTCACACTAATAATACTTCAATACCTGTCACATAGGTCTGATCTTTCTAGTTTTTTAATTGATAGGAGGTTGGAGAACCGTCAACTCAACCCTTGTGACTAACATGGATGTCCATTATTCGGTAATTATTGTGCCGAAGATTGTAATTAAGTCAAAATACATTTTCACTTTACTGAAAAATTTATGGCATGAGCGTGAAGTGAGCCAAAAGTGTGACAAAGCAACAGCAGTCGGCTGAATGCTGGGCATGGGGGAAGAGGGAGGGAGGGTGTGAGACTATCCCTTCCTCATTTCCTCTCTCAAGCTTGGTGAAAAAGTTCTCTCCTTTTGAATGTTTGGTTTCAATAAAGTTGTGTGTGTGTACATCTATAATTTTAATACCAAATTATCCGTGATCAGTATCATATGCCATAATCAAGACGCATCATAAAAGAATTTTTTGCGAATAATTTATTAATAATAATAATTCATTGTGTTGGAGGACTGGCAGCCAGGTTATACATACAGTACATGTTAGGTTTGTATCCAGGTTCCCCCCCCCCTTTCCCCCCTATCCCTAGGGTCTAATTACTGACCCTCCCCAGTATGCAACCCCACAATAAGCTGACTGACTTTTGGGTACCTATTTCCTGCTAGGTGAACAGGTACATTAGGTGATAGGATACACACCCGCCATTTCTATCTTGCCTGGGATTTGAACCCAGAATTCTAGATTGCGAGTCAAGAACGAACTCGACTATACTACCGGTACCCTCAATTTACTGGGATTTATGTCAAGAATGGTTGAGTTTGTGTAAATCCTGGTCATTATGTTATGTTGGGACCACCAATAATTGTCATATACTGTAATTATGATTTTTAAATGGAATTGTTTGCCAATGATTGCTCTATCATATGCCATTGTCAAAATGATAAGTACATACTGTAATAGATCATGTTGGACCACAAATTTTAGATCCATTTGGCATAGGGTCTCCATTTTTGTGCAACTCTGGAGCTCTTCTCAGTGTTACCTTGAGGTGCTTCCGGGGCTTAGCGTCCCCGCGGCCCGGTCGTCGACCAGGCCTCCTGGTTGCCGGACTGATCAACCAGGCTGTTGGATGCGGCTGCTCGCAGCCTGACGTATGAGTCACAGCCTGGTTGATCAGGTGTAATTATGTTTAGAGCAGGGTTCTTCCCAGCTGGTTTCACCATTTGTGTTGTCTTCAAAGATTGCCTTGATAGCATTGCTCTAGTTGTTTGAGCTGCTGCTGTGGGATGTGGTTGCATATTTACACTATATGCGGCCTGTCGTGCTTTCCAGCGTGCAGTTCTAGATCATCAGGAATCTTCTTAGTTGTATTCCTTGCGGTTTGCCTCTCTTTTTACACCCTTTCTACTTTCTGGAGGGAAAGGGAAGGGAAGGGAATTATTAGGAGAAATCACTAAATCATTATAACTATATAGCATTTGGAAGGGATCAATATAAGGATTTTTGATGGGACATGGGGACGAAATTGTGCCCAACCACTTGGACAGTCGGGGATTGAAAACCGGCTTGCAAAAAAATGGGCCTTCGCTCTACTGTCTAGCCCAAGTGGTTGGGCGGGAAGGGAAGGTAGATCAATCTTTGATAGCTGGCAGTGCAGTATTTTAGCCTCAGTCTGCTTCAGTTGAGTTCTTCGGATCCAGCTTTGGGCCATGTGTAGATCCATATCTCCTGGTTCCTGGCTGGGGTAGGGGTTCTAGTGCATCGTTCGCTCTGGACAGTGCTCCTGTTCACCCTTCGTTTTTGAAGTGTTGACCTTTTAGGCAAGTTGATTGAAACCTCAGGTAACCTCAGGGCTGTCATCTGGTGGAAGATGGGTAAATCAAGGGCCTACCAGAAAAAGATGTTTAATTATACAGTATTCAATGCTTAATTTTCACATATATAGTACAGTACATGTTTTAAGTAAATAATATCAGACTTTATCTTGGATCATTTTCTTATTTAGGGTTTTAATCTTATAATACTTATATTGAGGAATGTGATTTCTACTCACTTTATGAATTTTAATCCTCCAAATACTGTATTATTAAAACTATGATTATAGAAATTTTAGACATTGTTGTTATAAATGATACTCTATAGTGAACTCATTATTTCTTACTTGCAGTTGAAGTGGTGTGCTTGGGTTGCGCTATACTGCTCCTGCATCAGCTTTGCCAACTCGAGAGTCAATGACGATACGAAACAAATGCTCAGCAGCTTCATGTAAGGTTTATCTTGTTTTCTTCTGAAATTTGTATATTACTAAACCCATAAAGGTACAACCTGTCCTCATAGCATGTCACATTTTAACATATACTTTACTTTACACAAGGCCAAAACCTGGTGTACTAAGGCAAATAAACATTGCGACGGGGTAAATACCCTAACTGTGCAACCTGTCCTCTTACAAATTACGTCTGAATTTGGTCGTTTGCCCATATGGCCGAAAATGGACGTAATTTAAAAATAAAAAAATTAAAATAAATTTTGGATTTTGTTTCAAAACAGTAAGTTAAGGGTCCTCTCGTAGGTTAGGAGGGCAGGAAATTGTCCTCAAGTTTCAAAAGCTATGAAAAACGTTAAATGAAAGTTTCCTCTCCTAACCTTTCCAAGTAAGCCAGAGGACTTAGAGAAAACGCGACAGTATGTCACTTTCGTGAGCCAATTTCATTTCAAATTACGTTCATTTTTGGATATAGCATGCATTCGAACGAAAAGCGACGTTATTTTCAAGAGGACAGGTTGAACCATGATGTGCCTGACCACCATCATATGGTGGGTCAGGTCACCTAAAGTCCCAGCTAGCCTGCCATCCCCGCTCGTTGAGCCAAATGGAACCCCCAAATATTCTATAAGGAAGAGAACAGGACTGGGAGGTGAGCGATTGACTACATGCCTGAAAAGGGCATTTCATTACCTGGATCTGGATTTGTACCTGGATAAGGGGGTTCTGGGATTTCTTTTCTCCAAGCCTGGCCTGGGCCAGGCATGACGTGCAAGATCTTGGTCCAGTAGACTGTTGCTTGGAGTGGCCTGCAGGGCCATATTCCCACTTACAATCTAGTTAGTCCAGCACTTCTTGCAGGAAACTCTAATTTTTTCTTGAAGAAATACTTTTGTTCCAGCCATACTTATTTTATTTGCTGTGAGGATATTAAGGAGCCGTGGTCCTTTGATATTCATACAGTGTTCTATGATTGTTCCTGTGGCACCTTTATTCTTCACTTGCGCTATTCTGCATTTCCTACCATATTGTTCGCTCCACTACCTTACCTTACCTTGAGGTTACCTTGAGGTGCTTCCGGGGCTTAGCGTCCCCGCGGCCCGGTCGTCGACCAGGCCTCTTGGTTGCTGAACTGATCAACCAGGCTGTTGGACGCGGCTGCTCGCAGCCTGACGTATGAGTCACAGCCTGGTTGATCAGGTATCCTTTGGAGGTGCTTATCCAGTTCTCTCTTGAACACTGTGAGGGGTCGGCCAGTTATGCCCCTTATGTGTAGCGGAAGCGTGTTGAACAGTCTCGGGCCTCTGATGTTGATAGAGTTCTCTCTCGGAGTACTTGTTGCACCTCCGCTTTTCAACGGGGGTATTCTGCACATCCTTCCATGTCTTCTGGTCTCATGTGATGTTATTTCTGTGTGCAGGTTTGGGACCAGCCCCTCTAATATTTTCCACGTGTAAATTATTATGTATCTCTCCCGCCTGCGCTCAAGGGAGTACAGATTTAGGCTCTTTAGTCGGTCCCAATAGTTTAGATGTTTTACTGAGTGGATTCTAGCAGTAAAGGATCTCTGCACACTCTCCAGGTCAGCAATTTCTCCAGCTTTGAAAGGGGCTGTCATTGTGCAGCAGTACTCCACTCTAGAGAGCACAAGCGTTTTGAAAAGTATCATCATCGGTATAGCATCTGTTATAATATTGTGCAAATTTTGGACCTGGATATTCATACAGTGTTCTATGACTGTTTCTGTGGCACATTTTTTCTTCACTTGCGCTATTCTGCATTTCCTACCATATTGTTCGCTCCACTATGTTATAATACTGTGCAAATTTTGGACCTGGAGTTCAGTCCATGTATACAGTACATGATACCTCTCTTGTCTCCTTTCCAGAGTACATTTTGGGAGCTTCAAATGGTCCCAATAATTTATGTACTTTATTGTGTTTGTGTGCTGAGTATGTCCTCTGTATTCCCTGTGTTTCAACAATCTCTCTTGCTCTGATTTGTTATTTTTGGGAGAGCCCTGTCAGTAGTTTTCTGAGCTTACTTGTCAGTCACTATAGCATTGACTTCATGATTTTCCTAAGGGTGACAACACTTGCATAATTGTCTTTTGTTATTGAATGTAATTTAAATTACATTAATCCAACCCATTGTTACTGGCTAATAGTTCTGATTTTCAAAGTAAATTATCATAATTAAACAAATATACTTTTATTTGCTTGTCACAAATAATTTACTAATTATATTAACATTTCAGGTTGTCCATTTCTGCAGTTGTGATGTCCTACCTTCAAAACCCACAGCCAATGACACCTCCATGGTCCAATATATAAACAGTTCTATATTATCGATTGTTTTTGGTTGAATGGAAATGTATAATTGCCTCACCATACTTGTATTAAAATTGTACTGCTGAATGACAGTGACAATTTTAGTTTTAATAAACTAGCTAATGGTGCCAGGTTTGTATTATGATGTGCAATATGGAACAGTGCCAACATTTGATGATGTGCATGAGTTACAAAATGGCTTGGTTTGTTAATCTTTTAATTTGTGTAGCCTGCACTATATAATTCTTGTGTTATACTTCCCATCCAAAAGTTTCTTGTAAGCAGCTTGTCTTTTTTTTTCTTTAACAAATGGACAAATTTGTATTGTCCCATAACATTATCATGTCATTCATGCCAGTGTAAAAGGCAATAGCATGAAGGTCAAAGCTTGAAATATCCTGGAATATGAAGTACCATACGAGTTGATCCTCGAGTGACAACCACATTAGTACAGTAGATAGCCTCCATATTAGACATAAAAGGAAGACTTGATCACCACGTTAGAAATAGAAGAGTGAAAGGGAATTGGGAGTGGAATGGTAGGCAGTCAGTATGGGGGAAGGGAGACTTTTGGAGTACAGTACAGTACTGTCCATTCAGTAGAGCCAGGCTGTCACCTGATCGGATGACAGGCAAAGTTATCAGTCACTAGCACTGATTTTATAGTTTTCTTCGAGGTGACATCAACTGCATAATATCTTTTTGATCATGAAATTACATTAACTCCAACCAGTTACTGCTGGCTAATAATTCTTAGACATAAAGGAAAGAGGACAAATCAGAAGAGCATGTTAAGATAGGGCTACCTGAATAGGTTTCAGTTGTGGTTACTCCATCAGAGGGGCGTTCATGGGGATAAAGACAGATTCTACAGTAAATTGTTAATTCCTCTTTTAGGACTGCCTCCTCTTCCATTTTGCTTAGTTATGCAAAGTTGTTGTTTTATGGTTACAAAGGAAACATATCATTCCTTAATTTCTTATTTTGACTGTATCAGAATTTAGAATTTCTAAAATATAGTTACAGGTTGTAAGTACAGTATGTATAACAGTTTATACAGTACTATACTTAGTGTATAAAATATATATTAATGCAGGCCATATGTATTATTGTTAAATATGTACTTTTGTATTTCATAGTAAACCTTTTACCATAATATATAATTATCTTCTCCTTTCAATAGTGCATTTGTCATGTTGAATTATATGGTATATCAGGATTTTATCGGTACTACCTTGTTGACTGCGTGTTCCTCCCGTTACTATACTGTATACAGTATCTCTCCTTCCCATTACAGTATTACGCTGAGATGTATCAGTAAGGTGGTTGGGCTCACTGGCTCAAGCAAAGAATATTCACTATACAATACTATATTGAATATAAATTCAGTGGATTTTGTACTACATGGGAACCTGGTCCAAGATAGGGATTTTAATCTAGCCAGTGACCTGTACAATGAATTTGGCATCTAGATAATGCAGAATTCCTCCAAGACTGATAATTTTAAATTAATATTACTAAAAAATTCAAACAGTGCTTTTTCCATGGGATTTCTGCATCAAATTATGCACAAATGTATGTCCTATCATGTGCACAAATAAAGGGTGAATGCTGTGGATCTTGTTGTCCATTAAAATCTGTACAATAAAGCTTTCAGTCACATGCCATCCCTAAGGTGTGGCGTTGTTTACAATTTCCCATTTAGAATCCTTTCATTAGAAAGTATTTACACCACAGTATTGTATGTCGAACATAAAAAATATTAAATGTATAAAGATATTGTACACAATGTGATAAATCAATGATATAATCTTTAGAGCAGGACAGCACGATCGAACCAATGTTGTGGATAACCACAGATGTGCACCTTAACCCATGGACTAGGATGTGCAAAAAGTTACACGACCTGGGGCCGGATTCAGGAAGGTACTTACGAAGGTTTTTCCTCTTAGCTAAGAGCGTTTTCCGTCTTAGCGCCTTCGTGGCGGCTACGTCCGTATTCAATTAACTACCCTAAGTGGAAAAACCTTCGTAAGTTCATTCCTGGATTTAAGTGTGGTTTCGACCACTCGTAGCTTTACGTAAACTGGATATAAGTAATTTTTTCTCTACTACATAACACTGGGATCGATTTATGATATTGGAACATGACCAAAATATTATAGCTGGTGAATCTAGTGAAGAGGAATCCTTCGTGTTAGTTATATATGCATTCTCTGCTTGAAACTTGAAGTAAATATGTGTTTGATGATAGTAGAATTAGTTTTATAATAGCAAGATATTATACCAGTAGTTATTAAGTAAATAAACACTGGTGAACATGAAATATGAGAGAAGGTGATGAGCCCTGCCTGATGGGATCATTTACTATCACCAAATGCGCCTGTTCACCTAGTAGTAAGGGTGTACCTTAGCTATACATACCCATTTCTAATTTATTTAGTTTGGTTTTATTTTGAAATTAAATCTGGGTGAGACATAAAATAAAAATATGCTGCACAAATGATGTTAGGTAAGGAAAAGGGTAAAAATGTCAAAAACTTTATTCATTGAATACTTAAAGCTATAATTATGACTATATAGATTATTAAAAAAGAGAGAGGGAAGTAGGGGTCCAAGACCTCTTCCTGTTATACAATTTGGGTGTGGAACAAGTAATTATCAAAAGAAGGCACCATGCCGGGAAGGCTATGTAGCAGTAAGGCAGTGAGGTGAGGCAGCTACTTATTTGAGAAATGCTTATTTTATTTACCTTATAAGCTGAGGCAACTTATTTTATTTGAGGAATACTCAGCTGATTCCTCTACATTTAGCATGGAACAAATTTGTGTCCAAGACCTCTTCCTGTTACTCAATTTGGCTGTGTGTAACCAAACTAGAAGTGCTCTACAAATCAAGGGACCCAGAATGTGGAATGACCTCCCGAATCATGTCAAAGGCTGTACCTCTCTCAACCAGTTTAAGAGTTAAACCAAGTACTGCCAAATTAACTCCATGTAACCTAACTTACCTCCTAAATGTCAACCCATGTCTTGCTATTTTTTAAACAACGCTGTTCACCAACATGTGCAATTGCTGATTTATGCTATGTTAACCCCCTTTTTGTATTTTTTATTCCTTCTTTCAACACAATTTATACCTAATCCCGATTACTATTAAGTTTTAGTCTGTTTTTTTTTCCCCCACACCTTGCCCGAAATGCTATGAGTATTAGTGGCTTTAGGTATTGTATGTACTAGCTCTGCCTATAAATCCATCATTATGTTTGTAAATCAACTGTATGTACTTTTCCTGAATAAAATGTATTTATTATTTATTTTTTAATCAGTAAGTATTAAAAGAAGGCACCAAGCTGGGAAGGCTATGTAGCACCATTGTGTGTAACAATAAACCAAATTTTTTTTAACAAATAATGCACCTGTATGGGAAAACAAATCCTGTCAGCTGTAAAAATATTGATGCAGTTATTTAAATGAAAAATATAATGAAAGAAATATTACTGGTTTATTTTTATCCTATCTTTTTGTACTGTACAGTATATCCAAGGAAGTGAAAAATTGAGACATAATGCACAATTTAATGAATGATTAGCAGTTCAAAAGAAATATGACTTGTATTACATATCAACATGAGATCTTAATGATCCATGGTCAACATGATTTAATAAGGATAATACAGTACTGTATTTGTAATACAAACTATAATTTAAAATCTTTATTACTGATTTTTTTTATTAAGAAGATTAGGTATACACAGCAATGTGCTGCTACCCTAGTCTATATGGAATATTACACAGTGTAGATAAAAAACTAGCTATAAATTTATCTAATACTCCCATCTCACAGGATGGTTAGACATACTGTACATGGAATCAATTTAGAAAATACCAGCCTCAATACAAAAAACAAATCAACTCTGACTAAACAACTCTAAGCAATTTTCACAAGAGGTAAGCACTGAATCATGGAAACATTATATTATAATTACTCTTACCAGTTTCTACAAAACTCCTCTCAAACAATGTATTTTTAAACATGTTTAGGTATACACAGCAATGTGCTGCTTCCCTATTCTGTATAAAGGACCACACAGTGTAGATCAAAAACCAGCTACAAGCTCACCCAACATCCTCACCTCACAGGATGGCCAGTCATACATGGAATTAGGAGAGAACAAAATACTTAATGCTGATCTATTAGCCTCCACTGGCAAAATCTGGGTGCAGCACAAGAATATCTTCCAATATTCCTGAGTGTATGAAGTAATTACAGAGCTCAAAATACCTCATACCATTTGGTATGAAGTCACTGATAACAGGACAATCACAGATATAGTGTTGGAGAGTATGTTCTCTCAAGTAGGACTGAAAACAGATGTTTTTTTTCCACCAAGAGGACTATAAACCCATGGAACCGCCTACCCGCTGAAGCCGTAAATGCCAAATTCCAGCTAAAAAATATCATTAAGACAATTGGCGGGCCCTTTAACAAGCCGCCGGCTTTCTGTCCTCTTCGAGGTCACTAGATAGTTAGTGGCCCTTGGGTAAATTCAGTAAATATATACAATAATTGTCAGCGCATCTTCCGAGCAACAAGGACAGCTACACAGTATCTCTTAGAATTACGTAGGTAAACAACAAATGTAACATATTTGTTTACTACAATGTCGGTGCTGGCTGTAGAAGTTGAAAAAACATTGTTTTACTTCGAAATATACTAATTTTATAAGAAAATTCGACGTAAATAGGAGGCAGTAGAGCTCCGATAAGCCAGCGCTAAATCTTTAATATGAAGAATGTTGCTGCTCTCTGATTGGCCAAACGAAACACAGTAGTGACCTCTATCGGCACGCAGGTGAACCAACAATTTTCTTCCTAAGTATACCTTATTGAATCGCACCTAAGCATCTTCTTAGGGCGCACTTAGGAACCTTCGTAGCAAACCCACTTACGAAGAAATACACAGAGCTTCCTGAATCTAGGTCCGTTAGTTTATTGTGCACTCCATACCGCTCACAGGTTGAGTATGGGGTGCACAATAAACTAGCCGCCTCCAGCGGTAACAATTCAACAATTCAAATGCGTCGAGAATGGACCCGACTGTACTATATATCGGGGCCCGGAACGTGGTTGTTTACTGAATGTGTCGAACCTCCCTCGATCATTTGATTTATATTACTTCATGCTGATGTAGTTCTTGAATTTGTTTCAAAAACTGATCTACTACCAGCTTGCCAGTAGTCAGCAGGGCAGTAGCCAACACGGCAGTAGCCTACAGCCAGAAGCCAGCACAGCAGCAGCCAGTACGGCAGTAGCCAGCACAGCAGCAGCCAGTACGGCAGTAGCCAGCACAGCAGCAGCCAGCACAGCAGCAGCCAGCACTGCAACAGCCAGCACAGCAGCAGCCAGCGCAGCAGCAGCAGGCAGCACAGCAGCAGCAGGCAGCACAGCAGCAGCAGGCAGCACAGCAGCAGCCAGCGCAGCAGCAGCAGGCAGCACAGCAGCAGCCAGCACTGCAACAGCCAGCACAGCAGCAGCCAGCGCAGCAGCAGCAGGCAGCACAGCAGCAGCCAGCACTGCAACAGCCAGCACAGCAGCAGCCAGCGCAGCAGCAGCAGGCAGCACAGCAGTAGCAGGCAGCACAGCAGTAGCCAGAAGCCAGTACGACAGTAGCTAACACAACAGTACTAGCCAGAAACAACAAAACTGTTGCAGACGATTAAAAACATTGCCTAGTTAAGTGTTATAGTTAAGGTTCAGAGACAGTGTTTATTTGGCAACTGTAGCTGTCAACATACAGTGGTACTGCACAATCCATACAGTACAGTACTGTAAAATCCTTACACGTAATACTGTACCCACATTACAGTATTCACAACTCCCAGAGAATTCAAGCAAGACATGCTGCACTGCCAAGGTAAGAAAGATTGTAATACATTATTCAACAGTTCCATGAATCTAGGATACAGTTATAGACCTTTTATTATTTATCATGCACCCCATCGCCATCCTGTGAACAGTAGTGACAAATGATACAATGACATAAAGCTCAGGAAGTGGACCCCAGAATTCATCTAAGTTACTTATATAGTTTTAACATATATATTAACTACTGTATTTTATAGCGCATAATGGGTTTGAAAACTGAACCCCCAAAGCTCGCATAGATAACCACGTTACAGTTGATTAACCAGTTATATATGGATTGTTAACATATATACATCATTTATTTACAGCTTTATCAAACTAGCATCACGTATCGTGATTCCAAAAGGCCTTAACACAACGAGTGAGAGTCTTAATTAATTGTTTTAATAAGTTTATTATGTACCCCTTTCCCAACTAATGGGTAGAGTCTCTCACAGTGATGCAGTTTAGTATGTGGGGCTGGTTGGGCTATGACAACCCCTTGGTTCCAAGGGGTTGTCATAGCCAGGGGGTGGTAATGGGAGACGAGCTCCCATGTCCTATAAAATGCTCCTATACGGCATGCGTCTCCAATAGCCTCTGACAACCAAGTCCAACGCCTGGCCTGCACGGGTGGCTTAATTTAATTAACACTATCGGTCACCGGGCAGGTGCACGGTCAACTTAGGGGTCATGCACCCAGCGGGCAAGCGTGCGGGTAAGCGCGCGGTGACACCTAAATGTGTATACTCGTTTCAGCTTTCTCACCTTAATTCTCGTGCTACGTCACTCGTTTTGGTATCATTGTGTTCGCAATTAAATTCCCTACAGGTGTGTATAAATATAATGTCCAAAAGCCTGGCATGACTCCCAACAGCAAAGCCTAAAGTCGGCAAAAGTTACCCGTGAGCGCACAAAATTAGTAACATGTGCATACTCATTCCATTTTTCTCACCTTAATTCTCGTGCTACGTCGCTTGTTTTGGTATCATTGTGTTCGCAATTAAATTCCCTACAGATGTGTATGAATATAATGTTCAAAAGCCTGGAGTGCCTCCCCGCAGAAAAGCCTAAAGTTACCCGTGAACGAGCACCAATTTGTACACTGCAACCTAATGTGTATACTCGTTCAGTTTGATAACATCAATTTTCGTGTTACGTCTTTCATTTTGGTATCAAATTGTTCGCAATAAAAAGGCGCGTATTTTAAAACTAGTCCCAGAATAATAGAGCAATAACTGGAATTTTAACAAATATTTTAATTCTGAAAGCTCATCATCACAAAATTATTTATATCTTTCCAGTGTTCTGACATAAATTTTTGTGTTACATCTTTCATTTTGATATCAAGTTGTTCGCGACGTAAAGGCGCGCATTTTAAAACTAGTCCCAACATAATAGCATAATAAATAGAATTTTAACAAATATGTTAAAATTTTGACCAAAAGCCTATTTATAATCATATAAGTGTTCGGACATCAAGTTTCATGTTACATCTTTCATTTTGGTATCAAATTGTGCGCATTCTAAAGGCGCTTATTTTGATACTATTCTGAGGTCGATTGGATAAAAAATGAATTTTATACAAATATTTTTGTAGTGGACGCAAGTCCGGTCCAAAGTTAGGACTCAGGAGAAAAATAATGGACGCGAGTCCGGTCCAAAGTACATTAATCTTTAAGTCCGGCGGAACTGCTTTTACCGACAGGAGTTAGTTTAGTTCATTTATTATGCACCCCATACCCATCTTGTGGGCGGTAGTGGAAAGGGTTACAGAGGCACATAATGGGCTCAGGGACTGAACCCCACAATTCATTTAGCTAAGCAAGTTACAATCTTGATGAGACAGATTTGCATTTTACTGACAGGAGAAGGGGCGAGGGCGTGCCTCTGGCGCCTTAAAACCAGCTGCTCCGGGTAGATGGGACTCGATAGCCTGGGAAGGCAGCCCATCTAGGGGAAGGAAAACCCTGAATTTTAAACCTCCGCTGCCTTGCGGCCATCCCCCTTTTTTGGGAAAGGCTTCAGGAGTCAACCTCGAGGAAAAATCCGGAGTTGGAGCCCCTAAGGCAGTTCGTTGTTGACGTCGACCTCTTTCTGGCAGCTCCTGCAACGTTGCTGGAACCATGCGTATTGGCATTTGCCTTTCTATTGGATAATTTCAGCAACGTGGAGACGGGGGACCTGCTGCATGGGTAACAACAGCTCCTCCATATCTACCTACCCAGGCTTTGCGCCCTGTCAGGGCGCAACTCCATAGTCTTCCGAGACTGAAGGATGCCTACTACTATTATGTGGGGCTGGCTCCCCCCCCCCCCCTCAGCGAGCCCCACCACAGGGACGCCGACCCCCAACTCATGATGGGGTTAACGAGGTGTCTTCCAAGCCTGACAAACTAACAACTCTTCATCCATAGTTTGCTAACTGTCGGTAGTAACTAAGTGATTGTAACCTATCCACCGCTGCCCACTGGATGGGGGGCGGTGTGCAGGACAAACATATCAATTGTGACACTAGCTCTCCACATCTGTCAGTTGCTTAATTTAGAACCTGTACTTGTGGTCGATCTCGAACCCATTGTTGATGTGACGACTTATACTGAATTTTGTAACTAGCTCATCAAGATTGTAACTTGCTTAGCTAAATGAATTGTGGGGTTCAGTCCCTGAGCGCATTATGTGCCTCTGTAACCCTTTCCACTACCGCCCACAAGATGGGTATGGGGTGCATAATTAATGAAGTAAACTAACTAACCTTGAAATTGGACGACACACAAGATATACACACAAATAATCCTTAATAATATTAGAATAATCGATATTATAAACCAGGTCAATCTTTAAATTTAAAACAAATCAGAAAACACCAGCAATAATACTTTCCGCAACACGTATTTATCAACAAAGGCAAAATGCTCGTTTCCATCAACTATTCATTTTTTTTATTTTTTTATATAGAACACTTTACCCACGACTCACAACTGATGATGACGCATGTATTTTTCTTGAGCAGTGCTTCCTCCAGGTCCTCTGCTAGTCCCACCTCTATAAATGCTTCATCCCCGTATTGCAAATACGTGCATGAAGTTGGCAAATATATTGACAACAGAACCTAATCTAAGTTAGGCGTAACTATTCAACACATTCCAGTATATGATAATATTACTTAATATTTGAGAAGATAAAAATTTTGAATAAGCAGTTGTGTCTTTAGAATCTTAGTCCCAACATAATAAACAAACCCAACATCGGTTTATGTCTTAAACCGATGAATGTGTCTTTAGAATCTTAGCTATCTGAGGACTAATATAGTACATATGCGTACTATACTAGGCCTAGGAATATTTAAGTTTGGTTTTTAGCATTATTTCTTCGGACTATAAAGTGAATAGTACAAAATTCTACTATCTATTCAAATTGTACTGTCTATTACGTCAATATAGGTACGATGATCCAGTTTAAACGTACTATCAAAACAGGAGGATGGGGGTTGTATTAACAGCAGACACAAACTGACATATATAGGATGAAGAAATGTCTGGGAATTATTATATGATGATAATTAGGTATTTTCCTTTCTCTTGTTTTTTTGGTTAAGAAAACTACTGCATTTTATTGCATTTGGGAGGAAATTCCAGTTTAGGAACCTTGAATTGCATGACATTTTTTTCTTTGGTTGAGTATCTGCCAATTACAAGTACTTTGGAAGCTAAAATTCGTGCAAATATTAATATTATCTTGTGAATACACTACACTCGTCATCTCGAGGTCATCAATACAGGTAAAATGAAACATATATATAGTGTTCTACATGTCCATCTAACAGCTTATCAGGGTAAATGAAAATAAAGGTCATAAAATGTTTTATAACTAAAAGCGCATTTACGTCTTCATACAACACCGTGAACTTTACATACAAAGTTCAATATGAATACTGTATTTTAAATCCTATAAGACACTTTGTGCATCACAGTATTATTCATTTGGAAAGAGGACGACACATTAATTAAGTGCGAATGGAAACCTAACTAAATCTATGGGCGTGATTTGTGAAGAAATAAATATAGATGATAATGCCAGCATCACTCACGTGATCAATGTGCGAGTGCGCCTCTCATAACAATCTCAAATTTTAAATATACAAATTTAATATCAAAAATAATTTTGAAATAAACTAGAGGCAAATCGTCAGTACGCGTGGATATCACCAGGTACCTACAGTCTTAAATATATTTTTTTCATTGCCATTCGACCCCTTTTTTTTGGAGTGTTTATTCTGGGCGGATTTCTCCCCATTTTTCCAGGTCGCAAGTTTACCCGTAGCCTTCATTCCACCTTTCGCCCCTCCAATAGTCTTAGGGTTCCCAAATTTGCCGTCCCCTTCCTTGAAGCCTCCGTGAGAACCACGTTTCTGCTGCCTGTTTTTCTTATTCTTTAGAGCCTTCTTTTTGTTCTTCTTGCCCTTCCTGATGTAAGGAGCTTTTCTCTTGGAGAAAGACTTACGGATGTTAGGAACGAAGGGTTCTGCTGCCAGAGAGTCGTCAGGAGCACCGTCTGCAGCTTCCTGTCCTAGACCTGGGGGTACAGAGGCATATGTCAGCGGGTTGGGATGTACAGTTATCTGTAAACACTTTACACGTTATCAGCTAGGATAATATTTGAAACATCTAGTCATTCGTACACAAAAACTGGCCTAATTGGTAACTACATTATATGTGCGAGTAGATGCCAGCAAATGCAACAGCGACTTCCCTGGAAACACAAACCGAAACTGTCTCTATTTCCCGCTTGTTACAACTTGTAATAAAGTTGTTACATCTTGGCTTAACGTGTTTATGACGTATTAGAACGTTGTTACAACTTGCTATATTGGTTGTTATAACTGGTTAGGTGTTAAAACTTGTTCGAACGTTCTACCAACGTCGTAGTTTCGGTGTGTATTTGGCGGGTTGACAGTGGCAAAAATAGAGTTTAGCCAGACATAGCGTAGATAGACTAATTATATAGGTATAACTAATTTAAAGCCACAGCACATCGTTAATTTAGAAAATATTGAGGCTTTCCAAGCAGATTTCTTTTTAATTATTTCTAAATACTAAATAACCTAAATACTACATAATAAAGTCCATGTAATTTACCTTATCCCCTAAATGTTAACCCATGTCTTGCTATTTTTAAACAATACTGTTTGTTAACCAAGTTTTATAATTGCTGATTTCTACCATGTTCCCCTCCCCCCACCCCTTTTTTCCGTTTCCAACATGATTTATACTTTAATCTCAATTAGTATTAAGCTTTAGTCTAAGTGGGTTTTTTCCACACCTTGCCCGAAAAGCTGTGCGTATTAGTGGCTTTAGGTATTGTATGTACTAGCTCTATTTATAAATCCAACATTATGTTTGTAACTCATCTGCTGTGTATGTACTTTTACCTGAATAAGCATTTTGAATTTCGTGTTGCATCTACTTTTGTGTCTTTTCTTTTGATCTACAAAATTAGGTATTAAAATAATATATCATTAGGTGATTCTAATCATAAAATTATTAAATATCGGAACTGCACGTCATGTGCCTGGGGCGTTGACACATTGGGAGTGATTGATTACTAAGCCATATACTATATATATATATATATATATATATATATATATATATATATATATATATATATATATATATATATATATATATATATATATATAGAGTTTAGCCAGTTTTTTTTTCAGTAGAGTTTTTAGAGTTTATATATATATATATATATATATATATATATATATATATATATATATATATATATATATATATATATATATATATATATATATATAATGTTGTTGAATATGACCGAAATAGTAAGATTAATAATTCTAACACGAATCTTTTCAATATTTCTCATGTTTTTCTTCACTGTCGGTGGTAATGAAAATATCAATTCTCCAAAATTAATTTTTGTATTAATGGTCTGACGCTTAGAAGCGTTTCGTAAGGGCTTCTTTACACTTAATACTACACTTATGACCTACATTTATGATACACTTGATGCACTGTGTACGAAACATTTGACATAACCCTCGCTTTTTATTGGTTTGGGTGAGGTGGGTACATGAGAATGGAAGTAACTGCAGAGTGCCTATTGGCCCATACGTGGGTAGAATATAGTTGCGCATTAATTGGCTGTTGATTGCTGGTGTTGATTTTTTGATGTGTAGTGCTTCGCTGATGTCAAGCCGCCTGCTATCGCTGTACCTATCGATGATTTCTGTGTTGTTTGTTAAGATTTCTCTGGTGATGGTCTGGTTGTGAGAAGAGATTATATGTTCCTTGATGGCGCCCTGTTGCTTATGCATTGTTAGTCACCTGGAAAGAGACGTTGTTGTCTTACCTATATACTGAGTTCTTTGGGGCTTCCAGTCCCCAAGTGGGCATTTAAAGGCATAGACGACGTTGGTCTGCTTCAAAGCGTTCTGCTTGGTGTCTGGAGAGTTTTTCATGAGTAGATTGGAAGTTTTTTTGGTTTTATAATAAATTATCAATTGTATTTTCTGATTTTTGTCTGTGGGGATGACGTTCCTATCAACAATATCTTTCAGGACCCTTTCCTCCGTTTTATGAGTCGTCGAAAAGAAATTCCTGTAAAATAGTTTTACAGGAACTAGCTGTTCCTATTTCTCTTCGTCCATAATGATTGGGATTGCCAGCTGCAACCATATTGTACCATCGTATAGATTCACTGGTTTGTGCTTCTATCCTCATTTCCTCAGTTGCCTTGTCACGGTGATGTTGCCTGACAATACCTCTAATTTGTAGAAGAGTCTTGGGGATGAAGTATTCAATATGGTCTTCTTCAGCGCCTTCAGCAGCCAGCACATCTGCTCGTTACCTGGTTGATACCTGGTTGATGGGGTTCTGGGAGTTCTACTCTCCTCCCCGTTCATTCCCACATATTCCAACATGGGAGAGGATCCACAGAAACTTGATGATTCTAGGTCGATGAAGACTGCTTGAGGGGAAGTTTCAATATGAGCGAAGTATTCAACAAAAAGGTGTTGTGTACTGAGCTCAGGCATAAATCAAAACAGTTGGGGTGACAGGTGCCCCTGTATACGATACATGAGTCGGTTAAGAACAATGCGTTCAAACACTTTATAAACACGCAATGTTAGAGACATGGGTCTATAATTATCTGAGTGTGGTTTGGGGACAGGAACAATGACACTCTTTGTCCAAGCATCAGGTAATACTCATTCACTTAAACTCATTCTGTATAACACTGAAAGTGGATTACCTGGTACTTGTGAGACTAATCTCAGTGAACTGTAAGTAATACCGTCCTCTCCAGGAGCAGTTGATTTGCCCATCTTTAGTGCATGATTTAATTCCCATTGCAGAGAGATATAAGCCGTGTGATGTTAAAAAGATTTTATCGAGGGAAAACTGACTCATCATTGTTTACCTGGGTTATCTTGGAGGGCGTCGTCAGGAGCGTCTTGAAGAGGTCGGGCTAAGGATGAGTCCCTCAGGCCATCCTTCCCTGCCGCCTCCCTCTTGCCCACCTGTAGACGCTCTTGGGCTTGCTGTGGAAATGTTTTTTTTTGGGTTAGGTAGTCGAGTAAAATATACGAAACGGAACATAAAGGGATAAAATATAGCTAAATTAGCGGAAATGTTGATGCATTGTTTTTGTAAATTAGATGGTTAATTAACATTAATAATTTTGTAACTAGCGTCAAAAATTTTTATTTGCTTAGCTAAACGAACTAGAGGGTTCAGTTCCTGAACCGATTATGTGCCTCTGTAATCCTTTACCGCCCACGGGATGGGTATGGGGGTTCATAATAAAGAAAGAAATTGAAATTAACAATGTATTATAATCCCGACTCCACCTCTGCTTAACATCATACAGTCGACGTCCCCAGAAGAAGACCCAAGAAACTGCTTGTAAGGCAATATGGAATTTCAAGTGACTACACTAAGGGAAGAGAAACAAGGCAACAGTATAGTAGCCTACCTGGAGGAAGAGCTGCAGCGCCACCAGCAGCGCCACCACCACCAGGAAGAGGCAGTTTAGCTGGATGGCGCGTCCGAATGTCTTCATGGCGGCATCGTCTCACCGTCGTCAGGATAGGGAGGCGAGGCTCTTGCTCTACTGCGCTTTAATAGTGTCCCGTTACTTTCTTTGGCACAAGTTACAAGTATGTTTCTCACTTGGCTACTAGTTGCTGTAAAACAAGACGAACATAGCAATCACAGTTGGTATCCATAACGTTATTTTTACTATTTTTTTCAGTTCCTACAATGTTTACAAACAGATCAGTGGGTTGTAAATTGTGAACAACGTGAGTGGGTTGTGTGCTCCGTAAAAAACTCACTGCTTAATACATTTGTATTTAAAAGCAAATTTGATTCCCACTAAGAGATATATATTAACATCTATTTGACCACGAGTCATTATATGAAACCAAGAATTCGTTGACTTGATCTGGTCTGCACACAGATCCACGTCACTCCTGTGTGTGGGTGAGGTGACGCGCTCCCCACAGAAGCACCTCGTGACCCCAGCTCCCAGGGGGAGATAATAGCCGTGGTAGATGAATGTTCACACCCTGAAAAACGACCTCCTTCCCGGCCACTTGTCAGCTCCACACTCGCCTTGTATCACTCTGGTGTTGACCGTCAGCGGGAGGTGACGTCATGGCTTCCCTACACCCACACTGTTTTTCTTGGGTAGCCCTCCACTCTCCCCCCCCTCTCTCTTTCTTCCTCACACACTTCCTATTTCTCTCTCTCTCTTCTTCTCCTCTTCCCCTCTCCCACTCTTTCTCTCTCACTCTTCCCCTCTCACTCTTCCTTTCTCACTCTTGCTCTCTCACTCTTCTTTTCTCTCTCACTTTTCCCCTCTCTCTCTCTCTCTCTCCCACTCTCCTTGGTTCCCTTTCTTTTGATAGACATATTAGGACCCGCAAGCACTACACAGTTTGACACAAGCCTCGTGCAGTCAATAATATTTAACGTATTTTGAATAGGATAGGTTGTAGTATTGACTTGAGAATGGTCCAGGACGGACCGAAACGTCGTCGTCCCTTCACCTTCTAGTGTGTGGTCTGGTCAACTTACTTTAGCCACGTTATTGTGACTCATCGCCTGCAGGTTGTAGTATTGTCTTGAGCTATGGGGAGCACAAAATGTCCACCAGACTGTGCGACACAGTGGTTGCCAGGATCAAGTTGGGTTAACGTTACCTGTGGCAGATGGCTACAGGTGACAGATCTCCCAATCCTGAGCACTCTAGGTGCAAACTCTGTGAGCAGGAACTGCGGTATGATCTCCCGCACTACATCACCGAATGGCCAGTTATCAGACCTTTCAGACCAGTTGGCATGAGGTACCTGGAGCTTTGCAATTACTTTATTCACTTTCGCGTTCTTGAAGATATCCTCATATTGCACCCAAAATTTGCCAGTGCCGGCTACTAAACTTATGGCCCTGTATGACTAACCATCCTGCGAGATGGGGACTCAGTATCACTACTACCTTATTCACTCTTGTGTTGATGATATCCTCATAATGCACCCAGAGTCTGTCAGTGCAGACTGCCTATCACATACCTCTGTATGACTAACCATCCTATGTGATGGGGATTTTTAGCATCACGTAGCTAGCTTTTTGACACACTGTACTCCCCTTCATATAGTCTAGAGCAGCTGCACAAATGTACATGTACCTAATGTATTAATAAAAAAAAATTGATTGCGTAACGAGGAATCGAAGTATAAGTTCATGACATTACCACCGTTAAAATTCCTTGCTTCTTATTAGGCAGGAATGCAACAGTTAGTTGTTCTGTAATTGTCGGGAAGGTTCAGTCTTCATGGAAGAGCAATTAATGCAGTGATAACTGACAGCTCCACATGAACACAATTTTAGGGCTTACACTGCATGGAATATCGTCTTGTATTTTTTTCGTATTATGTTTCCTCAGTGTGTCTGTTGTCTGCATCAGCAGGATTGAATTATCAGAAATGCAAACAGCTGCAGGAGGCAGTCGAGCCGGGGACACCAACGCATCCAAGTGAGCTCAGCTGGTGCAAGACAGGTGGCCGCTCTATACTTGCATTTAGTTTAGTGAATAAGTGAATAATTTTTTTTTAATTATTTAAGTGCACTTTAAAAATTCTGCAGTCAGTTTTTGGTGGCCTTTCAACGGCCATTTATGCTAATAATCAGGTTCTGGCGATCTAGAACGTTAAGCTTATGGTCAATAAAGGCCATTTTTATTGTATGCAATATTATTGGAACTCTTCTCTTGTTGTCATGTTTAATGCCAATTATTTAGGTATGCAAACCTCGATACTATTTGTCGTGACTGCAGTAACTATCTGTTGGAGAGGATGATAATCTGGTTATCGCAACGCTGGTTGATAAGGTAACAGCAATAACAATATTTGGTTACGGTTTCCAACTAACTCATATTTCCAGTCGGGTTTATACTTGTTTTGGTCCAAAAGTGGCGGGTTCAGATTTCAGTCGTGTAAACACGATTTGAATTTGTTAACTTATGCTTAAAAGAGACAATAAAATAATTGCAAGTCAAATGCACTTAAACAAAAAATACACACACTAGGTAACTGCAAAAGTAGATATGACACTCAGGACAATATAAAAAAAAAAAGCACTGAATAGGCTCTCGCCACAATAGGCTCTCGCCACAATAGGCTCTCGCCACAATAGGCTCTCGCCACAATAGGCTCTCGCCAGACGGGAAGAATCCTTGCCAAGCGTCATCAGGAAAATAGAGCCTCGACCCCTTACCTCATTAGTAGGAATTAAAAGCCTCTACTTCCCGCAGCATTGTCAGTTACAGCCCCGCTCCTGTGCCAGGTAAGTCCTCTACGGGCTCACCATAGCCCGTGCTACTTAGAACTTTGTGTTCCCTGTAGCTGAATCTTAAACAACAACAAAAACAGCACCATTGTCTCTGAGCATCTTTCACGCAACAAAAGCTGCATTGCTTCTATAATGCTGATTTGCCAACTATACATTATACAACTATACAAACTATACACTATTGTGCACATTTACTTGAATCCATAAAACATAATTATATACATTTCCAACACATCCATACATAAACGCATCTATAAAATATACATTAATCATACATAAAAAGGCTACATACATTTGAAATATGTATGCAATACAACCAAATGCCAAATACAGCGAACACATATATACATTAAATAATAGGTTACATACATATAAAATACATATACTCTAGAACTAAAGACACAACACACACATTCAGTTAACCCACATGTGATTTTTTGTTATGAATGTTTATATTAAAAAAATTTTGGGGGGGAGTTATTCGGTTGCATTTTAAATTACAATCATTATTGCTGTTATTATTAACATTCTAACACCGGTAAGAGATGCTCATTATTTAGTTATTTGAGACACCTTGTGTAACGAGTGGACGGAAGAGAATTGATTGATAGACGGTTTTGATATTTTAGCCTCGTAACAGCAAGGGACTATGGGTTTGTGGAGTGGGGGAGGCAGACGGGTCTGGGACGGTGGGGGATGGGAGAGACAGACAGGTCAGGGACGGTGGGGATGGGAGACAGACAGGTTAGAGACGGTGGGGGATGGGAGAGACAGACAGGTCAGGGACGGTGGGGGATGGGAGAGACAGACAGGTCAGAGACGATGGGGGATGGGAGAGAGACAGGTCAGGGACGGTGGGCGTGGGAGAGACAGACAGGTCAGAGACGATGGGGGATGGGAGAGAGACAGGTCAGGGACGGTGGGGGTGGGAGAGACAGACAGGTCAGGGACGGTGGGGATGGGACAGACAGACAGGTCAGGGAAACCGCGGGTGTCCAAACTGGTTACAGAGGTCATAGTGGGTGGCTGCCTTGTACCGTTACCAACATTACAAGTCAACACACAGCGTCTTCTCTCGACGTGGATCACGTAAGAAAATAACAGAATAAAACCGTCGATCGTGTTGGCACATAATAAAAAATACAGCTGAATTTCCGCATAAGAATATTTGACACAGATGCTGGTCCAAACTGATGCTTATCTCTTAATCCAAGAAATTATATCCTGTAACTTAACTTTGAATTACAAGAACATGAGGAACTAATGCTGGCTGTCACGTCTAAGATTTCAAAGTCACACTGATAAAAAAAGAGGGAGATATGCCACCACTGTCAGGAACTGGACAGCTCTGAGGCAGACAGATACGAGTTCAACCTGAAGTCTGTCTGTCACCTTATATATCCTCCTCTCTCTCTTCTTTTCTGGCTTTGTACAAGCAGGAACTCACTCGTCGAACCTCGGCACAAACACTTCCACTTCTCAGGCGTAACTGAGGTTGGATTAACCGGCGCTATGTACGTATATATGTAAATTACCCGAGACGGAGAAGTCAGGTAACGCTATGTACCTTCCCCCTCCTAGTGAGTGTACCTGACTAGGGATGAGCACCGTTGCCGGTGGAGTCTTTCACCTGCCTGCTATTCCAGCGACGCGTAAAGCAGTTCTTTCAGTGTTGATTTACACTGACTGGATGAACTTGTGAAGAGGATGAGTACAAATTCGTCGGTACAATCTTAACAGAAATAACATTAATGTACAGTAGTAAAGGTTCATAGAGTCCTTATTTAACAATGATTCTTTTGTGCATCATGGCATCTCCGGCGCGTGCGAATGTTGCCATATTAAGTGGTGAATTGACAGTTTTCATTTATGAATCATATATAGTATTTTTGTCAGTTGAATTTACATATATTTCTTGTGTATGTATAAGAGTGTCTAATAGCCAGTACGCATAATTGAAACTAATATATTATTTGCGTATAATTATAGCTTAGAAAAAACTGTTATAATAAAACAAATGATGATAGTAATTTAGGAACTCTGTGACGTCACGGACGTAACAGATGCCAGTAAACGCTATGTCCTAATTTATTTCTGGTTTTAATTTTGATAACCTCAAGTCTAGAACTTTTCATCGTGTTCGACTAAATGTTAACGTTAATCGTTAAGCATTATCACTAAAAAAATATGTATGTTTATCATTCTAGTATCAGTGTTAGCGAAGAAAAGGCCACAAGGCCATTGCACCCACAAACGGAAAGATGAGCCAAGCAAAAAAACGGTTTACACCGGTTAACAGTTACTCGTTAATTCACAATATATCTTTTTAATTCTCAATTGTGTGGCTTTCAAAACCCCATTTGTTTTACTGTCAGCATTTTCTCACACTTCCCATATCTATAGCGTTTGTTTTGCCTGTATTCTGGTATTCGGTTGGAAGGTCATATGACTATTGCACCGATCCAGTTGCAGCCTATATTAATAATACTTAAGTAATAATATTTCCTAAGTCGAAAGGCATATTTTAAGGTTATTTTCGGTAGGTAAGCCTAGTTTTTTTTGTCTTAATCGGTTAATGGATGACTTTAATGTAGGTTATTATTACTCTGTATTAATTTGTTCTATAAATTTTATTTAATATTTACTAAATTATATTAATATTTATTCTTGCACATTTAAACAATTATATTCAGATTAATATAAATCTATACATCTCGATCTCAGGCTGCCTTTTAAAAATATCCAAGATTAGTTTGGATAGAACACAAATAAGATCCGTGTATCCAAGCCTCTATCCTGACCGTTTATCTTTATCCTCGTTGAAACATGTTCATTAATATCCCAAAGAAGCAAATAAAATCAATCCACGTAACCTATGAAATACTAATTATTCTTTTATCCCCCCCTCCTGTTCCTTCCCCCTCCCTCCCTCCCTCCCTCCAGCCCCCCTTCCCTTCCTTTCCTTTCTTTTCTCTATATTTAATATTAATAATAATAAAAATAACAATAATTTATTCACAAGAAGGTACAATGGGTTGGTGAGATTACATAAGATTGGTATTTGTACATTCTGGCAAAGCCACTAACAGGTATATCAAGTTCAAGTATGTTTAATGAGATAAGCAATAAATACATCTCAAAGGGATAGAGTAGCTTAGGCTATTTCTACCCCTCTAACAGGTATAGAGTTTCGGGCATTAAACTTCTGACCCTCTCCCCCTCCCCCCGTCCCCCCCAACCCCCCTATAATCCTAACCGGAGCTCAGCCTCACATAGGATGTGCAAATTTTGACAAGACGGATCAGGTCAATATCCAATATCGTAGCTCAGCCGTCCCTCCCCCATCCCCTTACCCCCCCCCCCCACACAGTTCCCTCTACTCCCTTACTTTTAACCCCTTAACTCCGCTTCCTCCCCACCTCGCCTAAGCTCCAACACTCTCTCCCTTCCCCCCCCCTCTTCCCCATTACCCCTTACCTCTTAACTCCCTTCCTCCCTCTTTCTATTAGCTGCATAAATCCCTCGCCTCCCAATTCCTCCTGCGTCGCTTCTCGCGTTATTGACCTCTAGATTTACGGCCGTTAGCCTGTCGATAACGTCTTCATTGTTAATAATATACACAGGCAATTTGGGTATTGACGGGTTTTCTCCGAGAGTGATGACGGTGCAGGCATGAGTACTACACCTGCTGCAGCCGGTGGCCCGTACCGGGGAGTACACTCTTATACCGCGTGACCCAGGACACATCTGCGGTATACATATACTGGGAGACCGAGGACACATCTGCAGTATACATATACTGGGAGACCGAGGACACATCTGCGGTATACATATACCGAGTAACCAAGGTATATCTGCAGTATACATATACTGGGAGGCCTAGGACACATCTGCGGTATACATATACCGAGTAACCAAGGTATATCTGCAGTATACATATACTGGGAGGCCTAGGACACATCTGCGGTATACATATACCGAGTAACCAAGGTATATCTGCAGTATACATATACTGGGAGGCCTAGGACACATCTGGGGTATACATATACCGAGTAACTAAGGTATATCTACAGGATACATATACTGGGAGGCCAAGGACACATCTGCGGTATACATATACCGAGTAACCAAGGTATATCTGCAGTATACATATACTGGGAGGCCTAGGACACATCTGGGGTATACATATACCGAGTAACTAAGGTATATCTGCAGGATACATATACTGGGAGGCCAAGGACACATCTGCGGTATACATATACCGAGTAACCAAGGTATATCTGCAGTATACATATACTGGGAGGCCTAGGACACATCTGCGGTATACATATACCGAGTAACCAAGATATATCTGCAGTATACGAACTTCAACTGCTCCGTTTTCAAGCGTAGTGTCCTTCAGGGAATATAGGTCATGATCTTGAGGTTATCTTGAGGTTATCTTGAGGTTATCTTGAGTTGATTTCTGATGATGCTGTTGGCGGCTTCTGAGTTTTATCTTAAGGTTATATTATCTGATACAGTATAATTACAACGACTTATTTATCCAACCTGGTCTTGCAGGCACAACTAATAGCACAAACACGAAGTAATTGTGTGTGTGTGTTTACTATTTGTGCTGCAGGATCGAGCTGTTAGCTCTTGGAACCCGCCTTTCTAGCAGTCAGTTTTTTAATACAGTGATTTGTATTTCCCTATCAAATCAACTATGAAAACTTTAAATAGAGTTTGCTTCCACAACCTACTCTTTTACAATCTAATTTTTCACTACTCACACGTAAAATGAAAGCTTTCTAATATCTCTTATTTTTTCTAACATCTCTTTTTTTTCTAACATCTCTATTTAACATTTAACATCCAGCTTGCACCCATATCCCCTTGTTCTAATGGTATTCAGTGTGAACATTTCATCTATTTCCACTCTGTCAATCCCCGTACGTATTTTATACGTCTCTGTCATGTCTCCCCGCTCCCTCCTTTTTTTGTGTCGTCAGGTTCTTTCAGTCTCTCGTTCCTTCAGTTCTTTCAGTCGCTCCTAATACCTCGCAATCCTTGGACGAACCTCGTCGCAAACTTTTAAACGTTTTCCAGTTTCCTTATGTGTTTCTTCAGGTGGGGGCTCCATGATGGGGCGGCATACTCTAAGACTGGTCTCATGTAGGCAGTGTAAAGGGCTCTAAATACCTGCTTACTTAGGCTTCGGAAGGATGTTCTAACTTTTCCCAGTGTAGAGTACGCTGCTGTCGATATCCCATTTATGTGTGACTCCGGAGTTAGATTAAGTGCTACGTCCACTCCCAGGTTTCTTTCTCGAATCGTCACAAGTAGGTAGTTTCCCTGTTTGTGTGCTATCCATTTGATCTCATGTCTCCTATTCCTATTTCCATCACTTTACACTTGCTCGTGTTGAATTCCAGTAGCCACTTATCCGACCATCTCTGCAACGTGTTCAAGTCCTCTGGGAGGACCCTACAATTCTCATCTGTCACAACTCGTATCATACATTTCGCATAATCCGCAAACATCGACATTTAAGACTCAACTCCTGTAGATATAGCCTTTACACATGTGTGTGTTTAAGATTAACTCAACAAACTCTAAATGGATGCGTTTTGATAGTTGTAGGTGAGGTTGCCTTAAGTTATTAAATTCCATGTTTTGTTAAATGCTTGACCCTAATACCAAAGGAGAAATGTCATTTACAGAATAAAGGAACCGAGGTGAAGGGGGAAACCATCTCAATTAAGACGTTATATATATGGGTTACCGCTGCCGGGAGGTCGACCGCTCCTGTGCCAGGTAAGTTACGGGCTCACCATAGCCCGTGCTACTTGGAACTTGTTCCGAGTAGCTGAATCTTAAACAACAACAACAATGCCGGGAGGTGATGGCGCTGCTTGCATATATCAGGAGAGGATTGATTCTGCGAGAAAAAAAAATGAGGTTCGAATCCTCTTCATGGCTCGTACTGATTTGTTCATCGATACATCACGTTAATGTGAGTTCTTTGTGCATTTGAAGAGAAGCGTTGGAGGTGGAGCTCCTGAACCACACCCAGAGTGAATGGGGGGCAATGACCCCTTGACTTGGCTTCAGTTGAAGCCTCAGGACCCCTAGAGGATTCAGTTGAATGCCAGGCTGCTTTTTACCATGCCGTGGAGTAGTGGTCTAAGGTGTGTGCTGGGGAGTGTCCAGAGCATAGGTTCGAATTCTCATTCTGGCTCCTGCTGATTTTCTCATTGATATCATATTAATGTGATTTCTTTGTTCATGAGGACTGATTTTTATTTTGTTTGGTTATGATACACCCCATACCTATCCTGTGGGCAGTAGTTGACCCCCCATACCCATCCTGTGGGCAGTAGATGACCCCATACCCATCCTGTGGGCAGTAGATGACCCCCATACCCATCCTGTGGGCAGTAGTTGACCCCCATACCCATCCTGTAGGCAGTAGTTGACCCCCATACCCATCCTGTGGGCAGTAGATGACCCCCATACCTATCCTGTGGGCAGTAGTTGACCCCCATAC